TCCATTCCACCTTTCCTCTACCCTCCCAGTATCGCCACTCACACCACTGGTCCTGTAGGGATCATCTCCCCTGGATTCCCTGTGTTTCCAGTTACTATCTGTACCAGTGTACATCCTCTGGTCTAGCCGGATTTGTAAGGTAGAATTGGGATCATGATAGTGGGTGGGGAGGAAGCATTTAGGAACTAGAAAAAAGTTATATGTTTCATCATTGCTACACTGCACCCTGACTGACTCGTCTCCTTCCTGCGACCCTCTGTAAAGGGGATGTCCAGTTGCATACAGATGGGCTTTAGGTCCCCACTCCGCACTCCCCTTCATTCACAATGATAGGAATTTTTTGTAGTTGGCTTTCAATTTTTATACTTCGAGATACTGAAAAGACTATCTGCTATGTACTTTATCATTTTATTCTCACTGGAATCCTATAGGTTTTTCTATCTAAGCAGGCGTCCTAGGGCAAAATAGTTATGCGTTGGGCTGCTAGCTGCAAGATCAGCAGTTCAACATTGCCAGCCACTCTTTGAAGAAAGACAGGGCTTTCTGCGCCCATAAAGAGTCTCAGAGACGCACAGGGGCAATTCCACCCTGTCCTACATGGTGGCTCAGAGAAGGCATTCACTCAATGGCAGTGAGTTTGTTTTCTTGGTTTCTTTTCATTTTGACTGTGATTTATTCAGAATTGTAAGCTTTTTGTTTGTTTGTTAATTTGGGTTTTTTTTGCACTTTTAAATCCAAACCCACTAACACCACCATCATCCTTTATACTCCAAATAGGGAAAATTTTATTAATGTACCTCCAATAATGAAACTCTTTAGATAAACTCAAAGATAAACACAAGAATAATTGGGTGGCATACAAGGATAAATCTAGTGTCGTTAAAATAAATACAATAAGCTTTGCAATTTTTCAGGATACAGGACTTATACAAGGGCATTGTATTGCTTAAAATAAAGCTGGGTTAGTGCACTAGAAGCTTGTCTGTTCCTCACTTAATGGTCCAACATGGGTGGTTCTGATCTGGCAGCTTGTCGCCAGCCTTTGATTCAGAGGTGCCTCCTCTTCCAATTTTGTCGTTCCACATGTTCAATGCATGTCTCAGGCTATCCTAGAGGTAAGCTCCATTGTAGTCACCAGAAGCAGAAGAGGCTAAGTGATAGGATTTTGTGTGTACATTGGAAAATGGCAGATAACCACAACGAAGGGTGGGAAACGATATCTGCGTAGCCCAAAACAAAAGGAGCTGGGCTTTTGTGGAAAGGCTCACCCGTGTGTGCCACGGTTGATGAACGTCCTTTAAGAGTTCAAGTCCTACATCTAGTAGAATGTCTTCCCCCAGAGGACAGAGGACAGTCCTTCCGGGCAAGCTGTGATCAATGTAAGACTTTACATTCTATTTTATAGCACCTCTGTTCCATTCCTTCTAAATGGCCTTATTGCGTTCCATTATGGGCACTAATGATGAATTAAGTTGGACTGCTTAATAATTAAAAGTATCTCTGGGATAAAGCCATCTTTTTCTCTTAGAGGAAAATCTATTTGGTTTTATTCACAGCTGTAACACTTTATATAAGAAAATTAGTATTCAGAAATAAACAAGCATACCTCTCAATGAGTGACATTGGCAAGATGGTTCAGCTTTGCCCGACCCGAAAACACTGCTCCCTTCATAGAAGAGCTTATATAAAATAGAGCTGTGTGTAAGAAAAACTTGTAAAATAGGACTTGTGTAAAATAGAGAAGCTCCTTACCAAAGAATGATCGTTTTTTTATAAAAAAATAGTTTTATTGGCATATATACCTCACATATCACATAATTTAATAGTAAAATCATATTTTAAAGAGATGTGCAATCATCACTACAATCAATTTCAAAACATTTTCTCCTCAACTGGTTGTAGCTCTCCATTTCTCTACATGATTCCCTGCCATGCCTGGGATAATTATTAATCCAAATACTGTCTCTATAAATTTCCTTATTCTTTTTTTTTTAATCATTTTATTAGGGGCTCATACAACTCTTATCACAATCCATACATACATCAATTGTGTAAAGCGCATTTGTACATTCATTG